AGCTGTCCTGGAACTCACTATGTAAACCAGGCTGGCCTTGAACTCAGAGATCTGCCTGCCTCTGCCTCCCAAGTGCAGGGACTACAGGCGTGCGCCACCACGCCCGGCTTACTTTATATATTAATTTACCCCTTTGCTTTTCCTTCAGGCACTAAGAGAAGAAATGATTATAAATGGAAAGTGGATGATCCAGATGTCAGCCACACCCAACTGTCAGTCAACTCTACCTAATGAATGAATACTCAGGATACTGTGAATGTTACTATTCATCACTTCAGGTGAATGCTGTAGTGTAGCTGCGTCCTCTGAACTGAAACATTCTGTGCTGGAGGGAGGAAAGGGGCTCCTAAGACTCAAGAAGCTAACAAAACTTAAAAGGCTCAGGAAGCTCAAAAAGATAGGAGACTGGAGAGCACATCCAGAGCTTATATAAGGAGTGAACAATTGGTGGGGAGGAGACTTCAGGGGAACTGCCTTCAAGTTGGGCAGGGAGTACCAGGAGTGTAAATTTTGTGAATCGTCACCCATGGTGGGTGGTCTTTGCAGTAATGCAGTTGCCTTAGAGTCACCTCTGCTCCTCTAAGTGAGTTCTCATGCTTGCTCCTGTAAGTAACACCAATAAACTCATTGTTTTATGAAGCTACCTTTGAGGCGAATCCTTTCTCCTCAAAGTGTCCGATCTTGGGTGAATACACTTTTATTCACATCTCCCGGGGGGGTGGGGTGGATCATACAACAAATGCCAAAGCAAAAGCCGGATAATTTGTCACATATTCTTGAAACAATATCTTTACAGAGTAGGCATTCAAGAAAGATTTGTTGAGTGGAATAACAACTTAATGCAAGAGTTCATTTGCTTATACTAGACACCAGGAATCCCAACTTCTGGATTTCTGTCACTTCATTTGGGACTTTGAAATTCACTTTGCCTTGCTAAGGTACACTTTTATGTTTGGAAAAACAAAGCAAAACAAAAAATCAGATTGGATGATCTTTAAAGTGTCTTTCAATCAGATTATTGCATTGTATTTATTTACTGTGTTAGGAAGCCTGGGCTTCCTACGGTGTGTTTGTGGAGGTCAAAGAATGATTTGTGAAGTTGACGTTTTAGTGAGACACAGAAATACACTACAAATAAGGCATAAAATTTGTCATATTAGGTATTAACTTCTGACATGTTGAATTAACAAAGTTAATGTATCTTCTCCAAATGCAACTACAAAGCTGAACACAGTTGTCAACAATGAACCTTTCAGCACTCTGGTAGCCACCAAAGCCAGAAGAGGATGACCAACCAGTCTAATTTCCTTGGTACTAGTCCATGTTTAAAAAGTGCTGAAAGTCCTATGTCCCAAGAAGCCTTCCTCAGGATGAAAATTTCTCTTTTTCCAGAAATTGTTTAAATTTTAATGGAAAGGTAGCAAACCCCGGGATTAGCTGTTCACAGTAATAAGGCATCTGTTGCTGCATCACTCCCAGGGATGCAACTTAGTGTTCAGTGAAGTGCCTCACAACCATGAACTTTAACCTTCTGACTTGAGTTCGTGTGTGGATTAAATATTGTGCTTTCTGTAGAGATAATGCTAGTTCATTTTTGAATTTTAATTTTAATTTATTTTGTGGTACTGGGGATTGAAACCAGTGCGTCATGCATGCTAGGTGAGGGCTCTAACACTGAGCTACACCTCTGGCCCTTTTATTTTTTAACCTTATGAATATCATGACCATGTGTCCCACGTGCTCAGAACTTATAAAAAAGGAAATGACCATGCCATTTTAATGGCAAATGAAAGGATATATGCAGCTGGATTAGAGAGATCATCTACCACACTGGAACACTGAACCATAAGCAGAAAACAATCTCAGGTTTGACATGGAAGAGAGGGGCATGTGGAAATACACGTGAAAACTGAATTTCAAATCCATGATGCAACTGACAAGTTCTTAGAAATCAATGTCTGGTATTTTTTAAAATTTTGTTTTAATTATTTATTTTTATCTTCTGTGTACGGTTTTTGCTTGCATGGATAAAAGTACACCCCACACATGCAATACTCACGGAAGCCAGAAGAAGGCATTGGATCCCCTAGAAACAGAGTCATGGATGGTTGTGAGCTGCCATGTGGGTGCTGGGAGCCAAGCCCCCATCCTCTGCAAGAGCAGCCAGTGCTCTTAACATCTGAGCCATCTTTCTCAATGTCTGGTATTTTACAAAACTCACTAATTTTCAGTGGAAATTGGTAGCCACTACTTCAGCTGAGGTACACCACATAAACAAACATGTCTCTCGTTAGACCATTCCCTTGTTTGTTTATGAAACTGAATAAAGTTACATTTCTTGGTTCAAACTTCACAACTCAATTTTTAAAAATATTTTATTTATTATTTTTATTTTATGTGTATGTGTGTATTGCCTGCACGTAGGTAATAAGTGCACCCGTGTTGTACAATGCATGTAGAGGACAGAAGAGGCTGTCGAATCCCATGGAACTGGAGTTAGGACAATTGTTAGCTGCCATGTGGGTGCGGGGATTCGAACCCGGGTCATCTGCAAGAACAGCCAGTATTCTTAACCACTGAGCCATCTCTCCGGCCCCCAACAACTCAAAATTTTTATGGGTGAACAAAGGGACGTTTTCGTATTAGAGCTGATTCTTTCAAATCTTCCTGAGGATCGACCTTACAACAGTATGTAAGCCCTCGGAAGGCAGAGGCAAGTGGATCTCTGTGAGTTCAAGGCCAGCCTGGTCTACATCATGAGTTCCAGGCCAGCTGGGGCTACAGGGAGACCCTGTCTCAAAAAACAAAAACAAAACAAAACAAAAAAACAGTATGTAAAGTCCTGTGTCAAAATAGTGATTTTCTAATCTTGTAGTTACTTTTAAATTTGAAGTTTCAAATCATCCCGATTTCCATGAAGATCATGATGAACTTGGCAAAATATAAAAGAAAAAGGGTTGTTGATGTCTTGTCTTGTATAAGTATAAATTAAACTTTGCTTCTCTATTTGCATATTCAGCAGACAGTGAAAATGTAAATTTTGGAGATCAGACAGCTTTAAAACTCAAAATAAAATGTCACCAGAAAAGGGCAGTCAAGTTAAACAGGACTTTCTCTAATCCTTTACAACAACTCTAAATTAATTTAAATTTAGTTTTAATTTTACAATTTCAATTTAGTTCTGCATTTTAACACAATTTTCTCTAATCAAAAGAAAAAGTTTACTAATGATGACATCCCATGTAATGTACAGTCTTAAAAAATGATGAATATTCTAGATGGGGATAAAGCTATATGATGAATTTAGCCCACCATGGTGGTGCATGCCTTTAATCTCAACACTTGGTAGGCAGAGGCAGGTGGACCTGTGTGAGTTTCAGGCCAGCCTGGTCTTCATAGCAAGTTCCAGGGCAGCTGGGGCTACAGGGAGACCCTGTCTCAAAAAGCACCCCCCCAAAAAGCTGTATGATGAATTTATAGGTCATAAGTAGGTACAAAGGATATATTCGGCAAATAACTCATCTACCAAAAGGAACATGAAGATATATACGAATAGACTTTTTACCAGATTTGCAGAATAATTCCTACAAGTCTAAAAACCTATTTGTGTGTTAGTTTGCTCATTTGTTATGATGGCTAATGCTGATTATCAACTTGACAGGATTTAGAATCTCCTAGGAGGCAAAACTCTTGGCAAGTTGTGAGGGAGTTTCTACATTAATTGAGGTGGGAAGACCTACCCTAACAGTGGGCACTTCCATGCCATGGACTGAGTTCCTGGACTGAATAAAAAGGAGAAAGTGAGTCAAAGTCCAGTGTTTATCTTTCCATTCTTGCTTCCTGACTGCAGATGCAGTGTGACAAGCTCATGCTTCTGCTACTGTGTCTTCCCTGAAATGACAGAATGTACCCTCAAACTGTGAATCAAAGTAAACCCTTCCTTCTTTATGCTGCTTTTGTTGAGTATTTTGTTATAGTAATGACAAAAGTATTTTTAAAAATGTTGGTGCTAGGCATCAAATTACTGAGCTACACCCAGGCATCTCAAAAGCCTGACTGTTTTACTTTTTAAAATCTATGCATTCCATATTAAAATGCTTTTTCATTTAAAATATTTTGTTTATTAATTTTATGTGCATGAGTGTTTTGCCTGCATGTATGTAAGTGTACCATGTGTGCAATCCCCACAGAAGCCAGAGGAGGGTGTCCGATCCCCTAGAACTGGAGTTACGAATGATTGTCAGCTGCCATGTGGGTGCTGGAAATTGAACCCAGGTCCTCTGGAAGAGCAGTCAGTGTTCTTAACTACTGAGCCATCTTTCCAACTCCCATATTCAAATACTTTAGCGAGAATATTTAAACTCTTGAATTTAGACCACTGATGAATTTTGGGTGAGTTTTGCACATGATGGGAGATAGGATCCAAATTTTATTCTTTAGAATTGGGCTTTCCAGTTATTCCAGGACCACTTGGTAAAAATACCATTCTTTCCCCTAACTGAATGAATTTGGCAACATTTTTGAAAATCAACTGATCATAAATGTGAGATTTCTGGGCTTTCAATCCTATTATATTAATATATATAACTTATGACAGTATGATAAATATTGTGGATTTATTTGTTTCAAGACATGGTCTCAAAAAAAAAAAAGACACCGTCTCAAGCAGCCCAGGTTGGCCTGGAATTCATTGTGTAGCTGAGGATGACCTTGAACTTCTGATCCTCCTGCTTCTACCTCCAGAGTGCTGGGATTATAAGTGTGTACCATCACATATGGTTTTTCCATTTTACTCTTCAGAAGCTATGGTAAATGGATTTTTCTTTTACAATTATTTATTTATTTATTTATTATTAATTAATTAATTAATTAATTTTTGTGTGTGTAGGTCAGAGGCCAACTTGTGGGAATCTGTTCTCTCCTTCTACCATGTGGATTCTGGAGATCAAACTCAGGTCATCAGGCTTGGTGGCAAGCTGAGCCATCTTGCCAGTCCAGGATAAATTTTTTTTGAGACATGGTCTCACCATGTAGCTCTGGTTGACCCAAAACTCATTATGTAGACCAGGCTGGCCTCCAACTCACAGAGACCCACCTGCCTCTTCCTTCCAAGTGCTTGAATTAAGGCAGTACACCATCATCCCCAGATCAGGATAACTTTTTAATGGTGTCATTTTCAATTTGTTTATTGCTAGTATTGAGAAATTCTCATGAGCGTTGTGTGTCAGTCTTATATCTACCACCTTGGTTAACAAATTTTTATGTCTTAGTAGATGTTTAGGGTATTCCTTAGGCTTTTCTGTATACTCCACCTTGTTATCTCTATGTCTTTGTTTTATTTCCTTTCCAACCTGAGTGCCTTCTTGTCCTAGCACAGCCCTCACCAGGACCATGGATGAATAGAAGTGAAGAGATCAGAAATTCATGTTTTGTTCTTGACCCTCTGGAAAAACTTTGCAGTTGTTCACCATTTGGTATAATGCTAGCTGTGGTTTTTCATGGATGCTATTCTAGTTTGTTTCTCCACTGCCCCGACAAAATACTCTGACCAGTACCACCTTGGGGAGGAAAGGGTTTATTGGGTTTAATTCTCCTGGGTCACAATTCATCAGGGAGCCCAAGGTAGGAACTCAGGGCAGGAACCTGCAGGCAGAAGCTGGAGCGCAGGCCATGGAGGAATGCTGCTTACTGGTCCCCTGGCCCATGCTCAGCCTACATTCTTTTTTTTTTCTTGTTGTGGCCTGGTTTCATCCTCCCAGACCATGGTAGTGAGAGGTGAGCTGAGGCCCCTGGTGGCTCTGGGTGCCAAATCTCAACCCAGGCTGTGACCATACTTTCTTTTTTTCTTTTTTGGTCTTTTTGAGACAGGGTCTCCCTGTAGCCCCAGCTGTCCTGGAACTCGCTATGTAGACCAGGCTGGCCTTGAACTCACAGAGATCCACCTGCCTCTGCCTCCTGAGTGCTGGGGTTACAGGAGTACATCACCATGCCGAGCAACTTATACAATACAGAACGACCTGGCCAGGGGTGGTGCTGCCCACAGTTGCCTGGGCCCTCCCACATCACTCAACAATCAAGAAAATGCCCTACGGACATGGTCACAGGCCAGTCCAATGGAAGCAGTTCCCCAATTGAGGCTCCCTCTACCCAGGTGTGTCAAGTTGACAACCAAATCTATCTAGTACAGGTGCCCTTCATTAGATTGAGAAAGTTCCTTCAATTCTTAGTTTTTTTAGTGCTTTTTATCATTAAGGAATGATGAACTTTCTCAAATACTTCAGTTGCATCTATTGAGATGGTCATGGGGGGTTTTGTCCTATTTTCTATTGATACGATATATTAATAGACTCTTGGATGTTAAACAAGCTTGTAATTCTAGAATGAATCCCACTTGGCCTTGGTGTATTTCTTTTAATAGGTTCCTGGAAACAGAAGAGGGCATCAGATCCCTTGGAACTGTAGTTAAAGATGGGTGTTAGCCTCCATGTGAGTGCTGGGAACTGAGCCTGGGTCTTCTGTAAGAGCAGAAAGAGCTCTTAATTGATGACCCATCTCTTCAGCCCCCTTTCTAGTTTCTTAAGGTTGAAGGTTATGTTACTCATTTTGAGTCCTTATTTTTGTTTTTATTAATGTTAGTTTTTGCTTGATATCCTGCTGGAGATGAAATCAAGGGACTCACACATGCCAAGCAAACTACTGTTGAGCTACATCTTCACTTAAATAATTTTTTAAAATTATATTCATTTCCTTTATTTTTGTGAGTGTGCATGCTCATGCCATAGAGGTCAGATCCTGGGTCCTGACAACCCTAACAAACTCAATTACCCATCTTCAATAAGCCAATTAAAGAGACAAATTAATAGTGAAAAGCAGTAAAAAGAGATTTATTTAATGTGGTCACATTGGGACAAGGAACAAAGAGATCCAATAACCCCTCGATTCCATCTTTGGGGACCTGAAATGAGGTTTAGATGTAAGTAGAGGGCCAGAGGTATGCAGAGGTATGCATTACTAGGTAATCTTTCTTAAATTTTATTACTATTTTATGTGTATGAGTGTATTGCCTGCATATATGTAAGTGTACACATGTTGTGCAATGCCCATGGAGGTCAGAAAAGGGTTGTCAGAAGTGTGTGAAATCTCCTACTGGGAGACAAGTTCCTCCTCTAATTGGAATCTGACTTCCAGCCTTTTCGTTCTTCCAGACTAAAATGCCTGGAGAAACTGCACTTTCTTGAGATCCATTGTTTCAATAGTCTGATACCCAAAGGGAGAACACAAACATCCTTTTAGAATGTCCCCATTCCTACCAGGATGGTGAGAAATAAGCAATATCTTTCTCGGGTACTGTTGCTGTTGTTAACTTGAGGTGGAGGTTGCCCAGGCTGGCCTTGAGCTCCTGTGCTTAGCAATCCTCCTGCCTCAGCATCTCTAACTAGGTCTACAGACAAAAGCTGTTGTATCCAATGTAGTATATTCATCTGATACTAGTGTCACCAAGACAGCTTTCTTATGTCTGCCATTTATATGATGCATCTTTTCCCATCCATGTATATGTGGATCTGTTTCTGCCCTTTTCTGCTTTGTTAATCTATTTGCCTTTCCATGCACAAACCCCACATCATCCTTCTATACGGTTATCTACACTATTCTTAAATATTTCTAGGAACTTAAAAATATATTTTGGATATGAATATGCAAATTAGCAACATAGTTTCCCACTTTGAGGGTTGCTTTTTATTCTTTTCATAGACTATTTTAATAAATTGAATTTCTTGAGTTTAATACACTTTCATTTATCAACTTATTCTGGTGCCTTTTGTATTTAAAAAAAAATTGCTCATTCTCTGTGCTGCCTACAAAGGTGGCCACTATCTACTTGGCATCTCAGTTAACCTCAGAGATTTTGTGAAGCCCAAGATCATCCAAAAGAGGACCAAGTGGCTGGAGAGACGTTTCAATGGTTAAGAGCACTTACTGCTCTTGCAGAGGAGTGGGCTTTGATTCCTAGCACTCACATGGTGGCTCACAACTGTCCTTAACTCCAGTTCCAGGGTATCCTACGCCCTCTTCTGGCCTCTGTGGGCATTTCATGCCTGTGGTACACTTATATACATTCAGGCAAAACACTTATACACATAAAATAAAAAGAAAATTAATTAAAAATTAAATTAAAATGTATTTTATTACCTCATGGAGGGCCATGAGGTTCATTCATCATCAGTCAGACTGATATGTCAGAATGAAGAGTAATTCATGGAAATCCAGAGGCATTGGCAACAGGATGCAGTGATGATGATTCAAGGGCCAGCTCCTGATGACAAGCACTTGGTTATGGGAGCAACAAGGATGCAGCCTAGTGGCTTTTGGGAGTTCTCAGTCCCCATTGTCAAGGAGCTGCAAGTTCCACTTCACAACAAATCTTACTGCGTCAACATTGCTCATGGTGTTTCCTCGCAGAACTACAAAGCCGTGATCAAAAGAGCACCCAAACTGGCGACTAGATTCACCTATCCCAGTGCCACACTGTACCATGAAGACAAAAATGAGTGGACAGCTCATGTGTGCTGTAATTGTGTTTAGATGAAACCACAAAAGCTGTCATCTGGACTAAGAAAAGTCATCACTTTTGCCAAAGTCGTTAAGATATTCTCCTTTGATTTCCTATAGAAGTTGTATTGATGTATCATTCTTATTTAGAATCACAATACATTAGAAATTAGTATTTGTGTGTGGTGTGAAGTGAGAGATAAATATTCATTGAAAAATTTTTTTTTGGTCTTTTTGAGACAGGGTCTCCCTGTAGCCTCAGCTGGCCTGGGACTCACTATGTAGACCAGGCTGGCTTTGAACTCACAGAGATCCACCCGCCTCTGCCTCCCCAAATGCTGGGATCAAAGGCATACACCAACATGCCCAGCTAATATTCATTTATTTTAAATGATCAGAATAAACAAATTATCCAGTACCACCTACTTAATTGATTTTCCCCCTGCTTTATTTCACCAACACCTTTTAAAATGTTTATTATTTTTATTTTTATGTGTATGCGTGTATTGCCTGCATGTAGGTAAGTGCACACATGTCGTACAATGCCCGCGGAGGACAGAAGAGGCTGTCGGATCCCCTGGAACTGGAGTTATGGACAGCTGTTAGCTGCCATGTGGGTGCTGGAATTCAAACCAGGGTCTTCTGCAAGAACAGTGTTCTTAATTGTTGAGCTATCTCTCCAACCCCTCACCAACACCTTTAACATAAACAAGATGGATATGTATATGTATAGGTGTATATATACGTATAGTTATAAATATGTATAGAATACCCACTCCCCATCAACCACTTAATGATGCCATATATATATATATATATGTGATACAATAAGTGTGTGTGTGTGTGTGTGTGACCTTTTACTGTGCTGACAATGTGGTCATTTTTTCTGTGCTGACTGGATTAATTATTCCAGATTTACAGTTGGCTTCAATGTATTATAATGTGATTTTTTAAAAGATTTTTAAAATTGAATTTTTGTGAATTTCACATATTTTTATCATATTTAGATCCCCTTCCGTATCTACAACCCTCTTCTTTTTTTATTATTTTATTTTATGTGTATGCGTGTATTGCCTGCATGTAGGTAAGTGCACCCGTGTCGTGCAATGCCTGTGGAAGACAGAAGAGGCTGTTGGATTCCTTGGAACTGGAGTTATGGACAGCTGTTAGCTGCCATGTGGGTTCTGGGATTCGAACCCAGGTCTTCTGCAAGAACAGTCAGTGTTCTTAACTGCTGAGCCATCTCTCCAGCCCCTACAACCCTCTTCTTGCCCCTGCCCATTTCATCAATTTCATGTACGTCATTATATACATTTATTTTTAAGGCCTGTTGAGTCAAATTTGTGTCTTCAAATGCTCTTTGGTGTTGGGTCCATCCACAATAAATTAATAAAATTTAAAATATTTTTATTAATTCTTTGAGAACTTTATACAGCATAATATGATCGTATTTCTCCCTCCCCCAACGCCTCCCATATCCATTCCACCCTCCCTACACACCCAACTTCATGTCCTTTTTTTCCCTCTCTACTGAATCCAGTATGTGTTGCAAAAATACTCTTGTGGTTAAGCAAGGGTCACACCCCTAAAGAAAATTGTCTCTTCTTTTCCCAGCAGCTACCAAATGCAAATAGGTCCTCAGGTAGGGGTGAGACCTCCTGCCCACCTCTTCACCTCCATGCTGGGATTTTGTCTGTCTTGAACTTGGGTGGGTCTTATGTATGCAGTCTCAATTGCTGTGAGTTTGGATGTTCAACTGCCTTGCTAGCTGGAAAGCCTGTTTCCTTGTCCTTGTCCTCCACCTCTGGCTCTTACAATCCTTCCTCCTTCTCTTCTGCCATGATCCCCTGAGGTGAGACCTCCTGCCCACCTCTTCACCTCCATGCTGGGATTTTGTCTGTCTTGAACTTGGGTAGGTCTTATGTATGCAGTCTCAATTGTTGTGAGTTTGGATGTTCAACTGCCTTGCTAGCTGGAAAGCCTGTTTCCTTGTCCTTGTCCTCCACCTCTGGCTCTTACAATCCTTCCTCCTTCTCTTCTGCCATGATCCCTAAGCCTTGAGGAGAGAGGGTGACATTAATGTCCCCTTTCTCTGCTCATTAATCAGTTGTGGGTCTCTGTGATAACGGTCTTCTACAGCAAGTAGAAACTTCTCTGATGAAGGTTGAGAGATGCATTAATCTATGCATATAGCAATAAGTCATTAGGAATCATTTTAATACTATGTGCCTTTAATAGAATATTAGTGGGTTCTCTCCTAGGCCCCATGACCTATCAAACCTTTTTACCAATACCAGGAATGGGTTCCA